CTTCCTTCCTTCCTGCCTGCCTGCCTGCCTGCCTTCCTTCCTTCCTTCCTTCCTTCCTTCCTTCCTTCCTTCCTTCCTTCACTCCCTTTCTTCATTTTCTCTGCCTTTTATCCATTTTTCTACTGTGTTAATACACCCAGCCCTCCATATCTATGAGTCCTGCCTCCACAGAGCCAGTCAACTGCACCCTGAAAGTATTTAGGGGAAAAACATGTTTCTATACACCGCTATAGACCTTCCCTTTATCAAGATTGCTCATACTATGTGACCATGACATAGCATTTACATTGTATTAGTTTTTGGAAGTAATCTAGAGAGAAAGTAAAGTGTGTGGAGAAATGGTGAGTGGGTTCTATAAAAGTGCTATTCCATTTTATATAAGGGATGTGAGTGAGAATTTTAAATTAGTCCCCATAAATACCAAAGGACATTTGTATTTATTTTCCCAGTTCAGTGGATCCCAGGACTCTGTAGAGATGTGTGTGAGTTGGATTCCCACACAGCTGGGTGAGCACTTTTGTCTGTTCCATTCTCTTTCCTTTAATTGGCTTGGGAAGGAAATCTTTGAATTAGTGATGCTGTGCTTCCCAGACTTCACGTGTGGGCTGTCATATGTCTCCTCCTGCAGCTACCCTTTTCATGGTCACCACATCCCCAGAGACACCGAAAAATCACTCTCATTAGAGATCATCAAACAGTAAGTTCTGTGATGAAGAACCCAGAAGTTGCTTCAAAAGTAGTATTTGTGTCAAAGCTATCTTTTATTAAAAATGCAGCTACTGCTGTCTTCTATCCGGTCTCACTGGCTGTAGGCACACTTTTTCTTTGTTTCTTTCCTGTTATGATTACAAGGAACAAACTTTTACAAGTGTTTGCTTTTAGAATTGTTCAGTGTTTAAGGAGTCCTTTCTGGGTGGTGTTGCTAGCTTGTTTCTAGCTGAGTAATCTCTTTTTCTCCTTACTGACTTGTATCAGTACATCTGTTCACAAAGGGGAAACATTGGCCATCTACAGTAAACATCCCTGAGAGCAGTTGCTGGCGCCATGGCAGGTGACCCTGATTTCAGGTTTGCTGACCTTTTGTCTCTATTAGTTGCCATAGCAATGAGCCGAGCTCTGCTTAATAGAGCTTTACCAAAATGAAGGCAATCAATAGCTTTTTAAGGCTAATGCGTATGTTGGTGACTCCTAATAGGAGATACCAACATTAAATGCAGTTATATGAATGCCTCCCAGGATAGAATTGAAGTTGGAAGATGTTAACACGTGAAACGGGTATTAAAATAAAAAAGACCTAGTTGAGCAGATGAATATGCTCGGTAGAGTTTTTTGAACCTCAGATCTTTTGTGAGGATAAAGGAAAATAGAATGATCATTGTAGAATGGACGGGAGTGTTCTTTTACAACAGCAGACTTCAAAAGTCACAAGGACTTGGTTAAGGATTTCTGAAGCCAAGTTGTCTAAGAATACTTTTAGCATGTGTTGAAGAATACTCCAGGCCAAGCTCTCTCCTTCTACCAGTGTAACCACTAATGATGCCAGAGGAGTCTAGAAATACACAAGGTGTGTGGTGGCCAGTTACAGTTCACCGTGGAAGCAAAAGGGCCTGGCCTCTGCTTCAGAGCCCTTTCCTCACTGTTAGCTGACTGGCAGCTGCTGGGACTATGAAGAAACATCTAGGAATACGCTGGAGAGGAGTTTGATGTTTTTTCCTCTCAAAACTAATTATTTTCCAAGATTTTGATATAATTTTTGCGATATCACAAGTAAAATACAAGTATCATCAATGCATTAAGCTCTCCAGTTTTGAGAGTAAAATGGAAGACATCTGAGAGGCAGCATGATTCACAAGGCCCATTATCAGCCATTTATTTGGGCTCTAAATCCAAGGTGCTATGCTCTCAGTGGATGGTCTGTACCTTTCCTAGCCAGGATGGAGCCAACTCTGTGTGTGTAGGGTGCAGTTAGCACAAGGTTCAGCATGAGAAGGACGAGGCTCATAGCCAAGTAGAACTTCTCTGTCTCCAGAAATGTGGGATGATCTTCTTCATGTTTGAGAACTCCAATCTCCTAAATTCTGTTACAACAATCTGTCAAATACATCTCAAGGCTATTGAAAAACAAAAGCCAAGGCATGGAGAGGTTGCTCAGTGGTTAAGAGTACGTACTGCTTCGGCGGAGGACTTGGGTTCAAATCCCAGCACCTGCACTGGACAGTTGACAACTGTCTGTAACTCCAGTTCAGGTGTTCGTTCCTACACTCTTTTCTGGTCTCCACAGGCACCTGAATGCCTATGGAGCACATATAGACAAACGGGTACATACACATACACACATACATATAAATATACATAAATAAAACTTTTCAAAAGGAAAATAACAGAAATCAGCACTGCTGGAGGTGAGACACCACTATAAAATTGAGGAGGCAATCTTCGATGAGCCAAAAGGAAGCAAACAATACACCAGTTTCAAAAGGGAGGGCAAGCTAACTGCTTAACTACAGAAAGTGTCTGTCATCATGAGCTTTCTATGTGTCACCACTTTTGTTAATTTAAAAGAAAAATCTGAAGTGCAAGATGAACTTCCCATTAAAAAGATGACTGCAAATTGTATCTGTTTTTTTCTTATGTGTATATGTGTGTGTGATATATATGTGATATATATATATATATATATATATATATATGTGTGTGTGTGTGTGTGTGTGTGTGTGTGTGTGAAGGCCAGAGGTTGGTATCAGGTGTCTTCTTTGGTCGGTCTCCACTTTATATATTTAGGCAGGGTCTCTCACTGAACCTTGGTCATTTGGCTAGTCCAGTCAAGCAGCCTGCACTGAGGAGGATCCTGTCTGTGTCCCTTAATTCTGGGTTTACACACAGGCCTCCATGCCCTCTTACCTCTACATGGGTTCTGGAGATCTGAGCTCTGTTACTTACACTTGGCAGAGAGTGCTTAACCCACTAAGCCATCTCCTGTAGCCCTAATTACGTCTGTCTCCTATTTGGTTTCAGTGATGACATGGATGTTTCTAAGAGAGAGTCTCTTACCAGGAAGAAAACTGGTCAAACGTTCAGGGACCCTGTCTGTTGGTTAAGTCCTCCTTACTGAAGACCAGCTGTGTGTCCAGCGCTGGTGTAAACACTGGGGAGTCAAAAGGAATACTGCAGGAAGCTTCCTCCTTATCCTCAGAGAATCAGATAATAGATGAATGAGCAAATGACCTGACAGCCATGGGGTGATATTATCCCTGAATGGAAGCATAGCAAAGTCCCAGGGAGTGAGTGGAGACTGGGAAGAAATTCTTTGAAAACTTTAAAACTTTTTTATTATTCTTAAATTGTGAGATGATTAAATTATGTAGTCAATGCTGGCCTTGAGTTTTCTACCCTGCTGCGTCCAGGGGTATAGGTTTGTTGTTCTGGGCCCAGCTTAATGTAAGTACATTTTGGTGGTGGTGTTAGCTGAGGCGATTGCTTTCCACCAGGCTTGTTGACCTGGGCTTCTGGCTAGTCTCTGTTTTCATTCTTCTTGCTTCAGTGTCTATTGACACAGTAGGCACTCAGAATAAAAGTTTGACCATATCTCAAAACCCCCAACAGTTTCTGTGTAAAGCAAAACCCCGACTCCTTCCCATAGCCTGCATCATACCAAAGTTTCCCCTTAATTCCTTGATCCCACTTCCTGCCTCTTCCTTGTTTCCTGCAGTCTAGACATGTTTCCAAACAGACCAAATAGGTGCCCAACTCTGGGTCTATTGCACTGGTTTTGATGCCATGCTGGCACCATGCATCCCTGCCTGCCATTCAGTCTTGCTTTGTTTCAGGTTTTCCATGATACTTGCCCAGAGAGGCTTTCTAGGGCCACTCAGTCTAAAGTGACATCTTGGCATCACAATGTCCTCTCTGCTGATTCATCCTTGTAGCACTTACGCCCTCATCTGCTCAGGCTATACATCACCATGCTCAGCTGTCTGGATCTATGAGAGCTCATGTGCTCTGAGAGCAGGGATTGAACTCCCCACTCACCATTCTATTTCCACCACCTGGAATAATAGCAACGTATTCCAAAAGCCAGATGATTATTTGTGGAACAAATGAATGGATGGATAGATTTGCTGTAGGGATAGGACTGCTGATAAACAAGGAGAAAACAGTAAAAATAAAAGTATCAAATATTTGGGTTTTTTTTTAAAGCTCTGCAGAGCATATCCTTTTCATAATTCTACCCCTGCCTTCCACTGTCATTGTAGTAGCTGCATTCACCTCTTTACCTTTTTCTTATCTTCGCTTGTACTGTGATCTTTGCCAATGAACTTAATTCCACACTTGTATGGCTGCATATTATAGGTAAGGAATTTTCGTGACTGCATTTGGAAACTTGGAATGAATATATATTGGATTTTTGAGACAGAATTTCTCTGTGTAACAGCACTGACTGGCTGTCCTGGAATTCAATCAATAGACCAGGCTGGCCTGGAACTCACAAAGATCTGACTATCCTATCTCTGCCTCCCAAGTGCTGGGATTAAAGGCATGCACTACCACCACCCATCCCAAAATATTTTTTAATATTAGGACTTTTAAACTAATATTTTCAACTTACATACAAAGCAATGAATGGATTTTGTTGTGAAACTTCATACAAGTATGTTATTGTGCTTGTGGCACATACCTCTAATTCTAGTACTGGTGAGGTGGAAACAGGAGGATCAACAGCCCAAGGTCTTCTTTGGATACACAGTTTCAGGCTAATTTGGGCTACATGATACCCTGTCTCAAAAGTAAAATAAAATAGTCTTTGGTTTTAGAATTACTGAAAAACTGTCAAATATTCAATGCAAATTCTAACAACACATACACAAAAAATAATTTAAAAAATAAAATGTCAAAAGTATTTTACATGAGTTGATTTATGACTTTTTCTTTCTTTCTTTCTTTCTTTCTTTCTTTCTTTCTTTCTTTCTTTCTTTCTTTCTTTCTTTCTTTTTAAACCACAGTATCGCCCAACGCCCCCAGACTTGGCCCCACGGAGCTGACTGTTGTTATCACTGTGCCTGTTTGCCTCCTGTCCATAGCTGCCATGCTGACAATATGGGCATGCCAGGACCGCCAATGCACATACAGAAAGACCAAGAGACACAATGTGGAGGAACCTCTGGCAGAATACAGCCTGGTAAACGCCGGAAAATCACTCAAAGATCTGATTTATGATGCCACTGCCTCAGGTTCAGGCTCTGGTATGTGTATGTTTTCAGTAAGCAAGTTCTTGTTTAAAAACAAATGAACAATCTTTTTGATAAAAGTGTCCAATGTGAGCTCATCAATTAAAGTGCTCAATGAGGTACACAATAAATAAACTCATGAATAGAAATCTCTTTAAGGATTACATGCGAATCATCTACAATAGCAGGTTTCCATATAGTTTTTCAAAAGGCTTTTAGGATTAGTTGTACCCCCCACATATCCTCCTTCTCCCTGTTCCTTCCCCCATTTAATTGTTTTAGTTTCGCCTTTATCTCTTCATGACACTACATTCCATTTCCCCATACTCTTTTCTTTTTAAAGAGACAGACAGACATGCACCCATGCTTGAACCCCCCCCCCCCCCCCACACACACACACAGACAAGCGGGGCATGGAGTTGGGTGGGAAGGAGTTAGAGGAGGAGAAAACATGATCAAAATATATTGTATGAATAATTTTTAAAAATCATACTTAAAAAAGTATTTTCATGATAGAGTCTTCTCTGAGGTCTCAAAAAGCTTTCTGAGGTCTGCTTTGGATTTTTTATACCTTAGGATTTGATTCTTTGTTTATTTGTTTTGGCTTTCATGTTGTCCTTTACCTCCTCCTGTTGTGATTTAAAAAGTCGCATGTGAGAGAAAGATACTATTTGACAGAGCTCATGTGGAGGGATTTTTTTTTATTAGGGGGAAAAAGGAAAAAGGGGAGAGGGGAGACCAGCTTCTGGGGACAGGAGCAGCAGAAGAGAAAAAAGAGTCAGGGAGGGGCAGAGAGACGAGAAGAGAAGTGGGGAGAGAGAGACAGAGAGAGAGAGAGAGAGAGAGAGAGAGAGAGAGACAGAGAGAGAGAGACAGAGAGAGAGAGACAGAGAGAGAGAGACAGAGAGAGAGAGAGAAAAAGACAGAGAACAAGAAAGAAAAAAGGATGGGAGGTGGGTAGAGCCCTTTGAAAAGGGAACATAGTGAATGTGCACAGGTGGCATGTTCTTTAGTGCCTATGGCTGAGGGCATCATATCCTGTCAGAACCCCAAGGGAAGGCCAATAAAGATGCCTGACACCTCCCATGAGGGTCAAAGCCATCACTGCTGCTTTCTTTGACTGTTTAATAGAAACAGCAGTTAGGGGTGTTGGGTTTAAGTCCATGAGATATGGGGAAATGTGTTAGTTAACAAAACAGTATTCCTTGTGAATATTTGTTTGTGGTCACCAAGGCCTTCTGGATCTGTAGGCATTCTCCACTCCCGGGATGTGTTTTGGAAGTTAACAAGTTGCTGCCCTGTAATTAACTCAACATGATGTTCTGGAAGCCCAGAAATTGGAATGTGAAGGAAGCTCACAGTATTCCTAGCTGGCTCCTGCAGCTCAAGGTTATCACAATGTTACATTTTCTTCTTTAATGGATTCAGATTGCTGTTGAAGAAATTCCAACGGCTAGACTGCATCATGGAATAAAAGAGCCTTTTTTTCATAGCACAAAACACTGCAGGGAGTAGGGTAGGGAAGGATTTTCCTGCAGTTACAAGGCCTCCTCTCTGCCCATCTGAATTTCTAGAAAGCCTTGGCCCTTGGCTTTGCATAAATATGATGAAGAGGACACCCAAACAAAGCCACTTCTGAAGCTCCTACATCTCTCCTTGTTTTAGAAGGGTTATTAGTGTCCTTTTTCTAGAAGTGGATGGGTACTGGTACTTGTCTGTAATCTCAGTATTAGGAATGCTATAGTTGGAGCCTCCCAAACAAGATGCCAATTCGGACTATGCAGCAAAATCTGCCTTGAACAAAATGAAATGCAAGGAAACAAAACAAAACACAAGGCTTTGAGGAACTCTCCTGCTGGTAGGTGTGAGTAGCATCCATCAAGACAGTTAATAGAGCAGGTGAGGAAGCAACATTCCGTTTATATGGGCACTTATATCTAACAGGAAGCACTCTGGATGCACCAGAAAGGAGCAAAATTTTGCTGATCAGAAGAGTCTAAAGGTCCAGGTTGTCACTGTAACATCAAGTGAGATGTTTTTACAAAGGAAACCAAGACAGAAAAATCCTGCAATTCCAAAGCATATAAAGCTGTAATCCAAATTGTGTCACTGTACAGAAGGCTTACATTTTCATCTTAAAACAATATTCCTCAGTACTTAACTCTGCTTCTTTGGACATTATATGTTGAGACCTACTATACTCTAAATGTTTAAGTCCTGCCAACATTCTGGGCACCAAGGACTCTTATTTAAGCTTAATTTCCAGATACACACTTCTTGATCATTTTCAAAGAACTGAAGAACCTTCTATTTATTACCTGCAGAAGTATTTTCATTTACTTGATGATATTAGGTCATGTTCTGCTTAGTTTTCATTATACACTAGACACACCCTACAGATCTCTGGAAGGAGAAGCTTCAGCTGAGTAATTGCCTGGGTCAGGTTGGCCTGTGGGTATGTTCATAGGGGAATTGTCTTGATTGCTAATTGATATAGGATGGCACAGCCCTCTGTAGGTGATACCATCCCTGGGAGATGGTCTTCAACTGTACAAGAAAGCTAGATGAGAATAGCCCAGGGAGCTAGCCAGCAAGAAATGTTTCTTCATAATTCCTGCCTCTGGGTTCCTGCTTTGAGTTTCTGCCCTAACTTCCTTTGATGATGTATTATTCTCTGCATGTATAAGCCAAATAAATCCTTTCTTCCCCCATGGTGCTTTTGGTCATGGTGTTTGTATATTTTCCTACTCTTTGAGTGTGCTGAATATGACCAAGGATTTCTCTTCCATGTAAAAATAATACAAATTAATATGCAGGAGACTAGATATCTAATTTAAGAAAGGAGTAATGAGCTAGCAAGAGGGATCACTGGGTAAAGGTGCTTGCCACCAAGCCTGAAAACCTGAGTTTATTTCCAAGGACCCACATGGTAGAAGGAGAGAGCCAATCTCTATGGGTTGTTCTTTGACCACACCCTCCTTATGGTACTCTCCCCCATATACAAACAAAAAATGCTACTATATTTTACACACACACACACACACACACACACACACACACACACACATGAAGGAGTCTATGAATTGAACATGAAACCCCAAATTTTGACATGTAGCATAGACCCAGATTAGTATAGCTCTCATCCCTCATCAAGGATGCATTTTTTTTCAGCATATGGAGACCATCACAGAGAACCACAATTGTTCCAAATTCATAGAACACCTAATTCCGGGATGGTCAGCCTCAAGGCATACATCTACAACACAGCTCCTACACCTGAGGTTCAGGGAGCTTCACAGAAGATGGGGTGAAAGACTGTAAGAGTCAGAGGACCAAGAAGTCTTCTGTGAGATTGTGTGTCCTAGAAATGGCAGAGGAATTTCATCCATGATATCTCAACTATATGGCTGCCTGAGCAAGATCTGAATAAGGACAACACCAATAAACACGCTAATGTGCAAGGGGAAGTCTCATGGAGCCCAAAATCTCATGGGGCCCCATACTTAGACTAACACCAAATAGACTCATTGGATTGTATTTAGATATTTATATGCATTATGTGTGTAATAATAAAAATTAGAGAAAAATTCCTTCCTGGCAAATGTTTTTAAAGGTGTATCTTCAAGCATGAGTGTGACTCTGTTGGCTTCTGGGTTGAGTATACTAAGATATTTTATGGCAGGAAGAAGAATACATGGCCAAGCCTGGATAATTTCTTTTTGTTTTTGCAGTGAAGATTGAACCCAGGGTCTCACAAGCACCTGCTGGGCAAGTGTTCTTTCTCTGAGCTACATCCCTAGGCTTTGTGTATGTGTCGGGGAAAAGGTGGTGGTGAATACTGGTCACTAGCCCTACCTCAGCATCCCAAATAGTTGAGAATACAGGCCTGCATCACCTAGCTATGTGCTCATGGATACATTTCCTTAAGGACAAATTGGAACAAGCTTTGGACATTTTGTCTCTGTAAAGCCAGTTTGTTTGGTGGTGACCCCTAGCTAAAAGCACATGTCTTTAATCATCAGAGGACAGGCTTACCTTTTGCAAGGGTTCTGCCACAATAGCTTGCCCATGAGGAGGACACTGGACCAGCCTGCTTCCTTTCTGCCTTTCTCAATTGGTTGCTGACCTTGAATCTGAGGCAGCTTTTTCAGATATTGAAAAACCCTGATTACAAAGCTTATCCCTGACCAGGTCAGGGACAAATTTCAAAGAGATGGAGAGCCTACAAAGTGAAAATAAATGATGTTTTATTGGACTGTGCTTGAGAGTGGGCTTTGTCTCAGGCAGCTTTTATGGAAGTAGGAAGCTTGCTTCTTTGTCTTATGGTATAATGTTCTGACAGATGGTGACACAAGCCAGACATCAGCTTCTATAATCCCTGGTGAAAAGATTAAAATGAACTCATGGCAAGAGGCAAAGTTTCTGTTCAAATGGAGCCTGAAGCTGTGTAACACAAAAACTACCCAGACTCATTTTGTTATTTGCTTTAGAAGGTATTGAAACAACTGAAGCAGTGTCTCACCTGGCTCACCCTGCTGGTCCCCTTAAATGATGTGATGTTCTTTGTCCACCAATTGGGTGATGCCTTAACTGCAGTGTGAAAACACTCTCTTACTGATCTCTCTCTCTCTTTCTCTTTCTCTCTCTCTCTCTCTCTCTCTCTCTCTCTCTTTCTCTCTCTATTTGTCAGTGATGATGTGGGAAGGGAGATGCTGAGATTTGACTTAATAATTGTTAGTGTCACTTTGTGCTGAAAAACATTGACTGAAGCCTACAAAAATAACCCAAGCTATTTGTTGCTGTATATCTTCCTTCCCACAGAAAGGAACACAGGTCTGCCCTCCTATGAGGGACAAAGAATTCTGGGTCAGCCACCAGCAGCATCAGACTCTCTTCAAGTCTGATTACTGTCAGGCTCTAATTTTCTCACTGATAAATGATGAGGTTGAACCAGATGGTTCCAAAAGAACTTTCGGACTGTAGGGCTTGGTGACTAATTGTTGAGGCTCATACCAGTGAATTTATAGTCTGTGCCTATTTACCATCGTGGGTGGTTCTCCTGGAGATGAGAACATCTGTGTAAACACTGGCTCATTCTTGGATCAGGGGACAATGGCCACAAGGAGCTACATGGGCATTGTTTTCTCTAGCCACCTGAGGACAGTGATAATAACCAAGCTGACTGGCTAGAATACACTCTTCTTGTAGTCTCTTTAACTATTTGCTTTCTAACAATACAATTATAGGAATAATAAAACCTTCTCATGGACCCTATGTTGTAAATACAGCAAATGAAAAGGAAGAAAATTATAATTCACTCTGATTTCACCATGTGGTTCAGTCCCTTTTCTATGCGCAGTTTGAAAAGCTGCAAACTCAATATAGGTAGAATTTTCTATGCTGTTTTCATTTAACAGTGTAGCAGAGTATTCCAGGGTCACTGGAATATGCTTTATTAGTAGCAGCGTCAGTGTTAATCTTATGTGATCCATGCTGAGGTTGGTGTAAGATTGAGGGTAACCATTGTTGATTGTACATTTTGTTAGGTACACTGCAAGCTGCTTAGCCTCCTTATTAACTCTCATAATGTTTAGTTTCCCAGAGCATGGTGCTGAAGCTCACAGAAGTTAAGTTACCTGACCATGGTGACTAGATGCTGTAGCTGAAACTGGAACCCAGGTCTTTTCTTACCTGTGCTTGTGTGTCTTCTGCACAGTGTTTCACAAATGTCTTCTCACTTGAAAGGCTTCGTTTTTTGTTTAATATTAATGACAACAATGTATTCAATATTTTTTTACACAGATTCTCTACATTTTTACTTAATTCTATAGGATACTACTTAAGAAGTAGTGTTACTATTTTAAAAATTAGAAGCAGTCTGGGTATGGTGGTATGCATCTTTATTCCCAGCACTTGAGAGGCAGAGGCAGGCAGGTCTCTGAGTGTGAAGCCAGCTTTGTCTGTGTAGTGAGTTCCAGGACAGCCATGGATAAATAGTTAAGACCGTGTCTTAAAACAACCACAACAAAAAATTTATGAGCACCACACCTACCTGTAGAACATGTATTCCTTGAATTTATTTATTTTACAGACAACATGCTTATCTTATTTGTTATTAAATTTGATTCCTTTCATGCACATTTTAATTTTGTTTTGAAAAAAATCCACAAAAAATTCTTTTCCTTTCACAGTAGTACCCAGGGGCTATGCATTTTATTTTAAGTTATAGCCATGAATGTTTTCCTTTGAGTTCTTAGTAATCAGACTGGCTTTATGGGAAATTCAGGGGATTTGCCACAGTTCTTAGAAATCAGATATCTGCAGCAGCAGGCTGTGTTCAGAAAGCTTTGTTTGTGAATAAGAGAAGAGAATTAACAATTTAGGACATTTTATAGGTCATGCCTTAGCACTAAAGTTTTATGTAATCATGTTTATTTCTTCAAATTTAGTAAAGTTACTAGCGTGCTTAAGTATTTGCTTTTTATGTAACAGTGGCCATCATTGTTATTTTCACTTTGCATCATCAGTCTGCCTCTCCCTTGACTAGGTCTGCCTCTTCTGGTCCAAAGAACAATTGCGAGGACTATCGTACTACAAGAAATAGTAGGAAAAGGTCGATTTGGGGAAGTGTGGCATGGAAGATGGTGTGGGGAAGATGTGGCCGTGAAAATATTCTCCTCCAGGGATGAACGATCTTGGTTTCGTGAGGCAGAAATTTATCAGACAGTGATGCTGAGACACGAGAACATCCTTGGCTTCATTGCAGCTGACAACAAAGGTAAGGTGACTCTTGGTAGGCAAGAAAAATGTCAGCTTGCTTGTAAGACAGATGAGAGTCATCCCTTTGTCTCCAGAAAACACATTAAAAAAATCTATTTTCTTTACTAAGAAAATTCCCTTGTCTTTCCTACAAGTAAATGCCCATAACTCAGCAGGGAAGGGCATCAGCAGATGGTTAGTGTGGGGTCAGGATAACATGACGCTAATGTTTAAGTTATCAGCTAACTGGTCCTGTCAAGAACCAGCCATCTGCAACTGGAACCAGTCTTCAGAAAACCTACTAGCCTTGTTTCCTGTCTTTATTCACCCTGGGTCATAGAAACATCTAGAGGCATTTTGGACTGTGAAGGGGCATTTGGGTGTGCTGGCAGTGGGATGATATTAGAATTTTGAATGACTGTTGTTCATCACCTGGGGTGGGATCTATATCACATGCTTTGTGTGCAGGTGTACAGTTTTCAACACATGTCACCTCCAGACTGTGAGAATGGGGCAAGAGATTGCTAGTCGCATTTTCTATCTTTGTTAACTTGGCCATCCCTCAGAATTTGAAGTTTAACGCTGATAGATGACTAATTGTAAATTGTTTTAGTGTCCTGGAACAAAGAGGATCATCTATCTGGTAAAGTCAGTACTCTTAAAATATTGTCACACGTACAATAGTAGTGAGGGAGGGTTCTCCTCCTTCTTTTTCCTACAAAGCTTTGGTTTGTTTGCTGGACATCAAAGGGAAATGCAGACAGGAGTGAGAAAATTCAATCCAGTGAGGTTTGAAATTAGAACTTTAATCAGTATCTATGAAGAACTTTGATGGAGCCACAGTTGTAATCTCATTAAAAAGCCAAAAAAGAAAAGTTAAACTAAAGTAGCTGTCAATTTTACATATCTACTATTGCTTGGGAAATTAAAAAAATAGAGAAACATGATCATAATTTTATTTATTATTAACTGCATGGCAAAAGAGAGGCTCAGCATTTATTGTACATTTTGACCAGAATTATACTTCTTAGTTCTGGTTTTTAAGGAAGGAGAGTAAAACTGAGATGAGCTGAGAGGAAAAGTTCTTCACAAGTTCTTTTTATTATTATTTATTATTATTATTATTATATCATCATCATCATCATTTTATGTGTTTGGGTAGTTTATCTGCATGTATGTCTGCGCCCTAGTGCCCAGCAAGGCCAGAAGAGGGCAGTGGTTCCCCTGAAACTGGATGGAATTACAGATTATTGTGAGCTACCATGTGGATGCTGGGAATTGAACCCAGTTCCTCTGGAAGAGCAGCCAGTGTTCTTAACTGGTTAAGCCACCTATCCAGTCCCTCTTTCCAAGTTCTTAAGGACATATGCTTTAACACTATATCCAGAGTTTTGAAAAACAGACACTGTCCCAAGGTTAAGAAATCACTTCCCCCTGGTAATCTTGAGTTGAGTTATTCCTGGTAAGGTTAACCAGCACCCTGGTGTCAGCACACTGGTGACCAGCCACATTGCCCATCTTGATAAACTAGTTTAATCACAGTGCCTACTGGCTTCCATACACATCTGTCCCAAAGAGGTAATCTTTCATCTTTGTTTCTTCCTGCTTTTTTAAAAAAAATTATTTTATGTACATTGATGTTTTGTCTGCATAGATGTTTGTGTGAGGGTGTCAGATTACCTCGACCTGGAGTTATAGACATTTATGAGCTGCCTTGTGGGTGCTGGGAATTGAACCTGCATCCTCTGGAAGAACAGTCAGAGCTCTTACCGGTTGAATCATCTCTCCAGCCCCTGATTCTTTTTGTTTAACTGGCTTCTCTCAGTCATATCCTTACTTGTCAGTTACTTTGTACAGATAGCAAATGGTCTCTAATACCACTTTCATCTTCAAAAATTCTTTATTCATGTAACAGTTACAGTTTACATTGTAGCCGAGTGTTGAGCAGTGAGCTTGTTGTGAGAGAGTATAGCTAGGTACAGGTGACAGCAGGGCGGGTCTGAGGGTGAGGTCAGGGTGTGGCAGGTCATTAGTGAACTTTATAGTATATTTCCTTTTGTATGTCATGAAGCTTTCTCATTGCCTGGCTGTGGAAATGCAATTGGTGGATAGCATCCAGCTCCTGACTATACAGCACCCGTCAGGAAAGCATCTAAGCAAAATCCTCACCGTAGAGTCCATTTCCATCTGAGAACTGGCCAGGGCTGCCTATACTGTCATGGACATTTTGTTTAGAAAACTACAACTAATTGTTGAAGTGCTGCTACAAAGAGAAGTATCAGGCTAATTTCTCATCTGTTGAAAGTCTTTAAAAAATTCTGGATTACATAAAAACAAGGGGGAACTCATGGACCCCAGACTAATCACTGGGATGTCAGCGTGGGACTTATCCAGGCCTCCCCCCCCCAATGTGGGTGTCAGTGAGGAGACCTCAGCAATATATGGGACCTCTGGTAGTAGACCAGTATTTATCCCTGGTGTATCAATGGATTTTGGGAGCCCAATCCATGTGAAGGGATGTTCTCTAAGCCTGGACACACGAAGGAGAGCCTAGGCCCAGCCAGGGATGATATGACAGACTTTGGTGATTCCCCCATGGAGGGCCTCACCCTCCCTGGGTAGTGGAGGGGGAATGTGATGGTGGTGGGCTGATGGAGGGCGGGGGAGGAAGGGAGGGAGAAGGAGCTGGGATTGACATGTGAAGCAGGCTTGCTTCTAATTTAAATAAAAATGAATTTTAAAAATGCTGGGTTAGTTTTTGTTTGAATAGGTGTGTTATTGGAGAATATCTAGCAATCATATGATAGAATCTGGCTCTTTTGTAAAACTGGTGTAACTTCCTATTTTTAAAGGCCAACATCATGGACATTGTTAGAATGTCAGTATTCTTGTGGTAGTAACAGTAGATTCTTTAAATTTGTTATATTTCTTGTCGTTATTGGTTTAATCTTTCTTAAAAGCTTAAGAGTGCAGGACAAGGCTGAGGCCAAATGATCCTCTCAAAAGTGTCTCCCACAATGCATCTCTCCAAAGTTTCCCATACACTGTGGTAACTGTCACCAGCAACTACTGACAAAAGGAAGCAGAGAAAGAGTCGCCCACTTGTTAGAACCACCTTCCACAACTTTCTGTTTCCATGGAAGCTTCCTCTATAGAGATGTCTTCAATAACTCATTGAGAACTTTATACTTCCCTAAGTCCAGCTTCTCTGCTGAAAGAATTAAGCTTGTCATTCATAAATGGTACTGACAAACTTTAAATACTTGTGAAAAGTGATTGCTTGCTTTTTCAATGTTTACAATAGCAAATGATGTTTTCTCGTTAGATAATGGAACTTGGACTCAACTTTGGCTTGTATCAGAGTATCATGAACAGGGCTCCTTATTTGACTATTTGAATAGAAATATAGTGACTGTGGCTGGAATGATCAAGCTGGCACTTTCAATAGCCAGTGGTCTGGCTCACCTACACATGGAGATCGTTGGTACTCAAGGTATGTATGTCCTTTCAGAACGCTGGTCTTTGTATTGACTTTATTTTAGTTTTTTACAATCATCAAACTCAGAGGAACAATGGAGGTACTTCACAAAAGGAAGGTTCTTGTCATGTTGCAAACAACTTTCTCATATTTTCAGCCCCACACATGTTATTCATGATGTATTTTTATCCCCAGTGGCCCGTTCCATACATGCCACTAGCCTGTATATCTAGTGGTCTTATTTTGGTGGCAAGGGCTACATATTCACTTACTGCAGGTGGTATAAATGCTTTCTTTTGATAATGCAATGGGAAGGATAACATGACCGTAAAAGAATATTTGAAGTTGTGTGTGGGAAGTCGAGGCAGAAGAATGCCCACGTGTTTGAGGCCATCCTGGGTTACATGTGAGTTCCATACCAGGCTGGAACTGTCTCAAAAAGGTAGAACAAAATATTTGAATATAATACTTGAAGGTCAAATAATATCTTTGTCTTTGTTAATTAACTGAGTCTATATGAAACTGACTTTTGAAAGTCATTAGTCTAAATAGGCCACTAGGTTCACGACCCTTTTATACCCTTAAAAACTATAGAGTGCCCCAAGGTTTTGTTAAATGTAGATTATATTTATTAATACATTCCATATTAAAAACTCTTCATTGCAAACTTAAAAATTGTTTATTTCAAGGTCTGCAATTAGCCAATTAAATATTAATGTGAATAACAGCTTCCAAATGTTTTACAACTTTTTCCTAATGCAATGTAGTGAAAATAGTGGTTTTTTTCTACATTTTTAAAAATAATTTTAATATCTAGCTTATTTCACACATGCTGTTTATCTTATTTGTCCCTTGTATGGTTTTGATTGAAGTAAGTGGAGAAATGGTGACATGAGCCAGATAGGTAGATATATAGTAGTCTTAAGGACCCTCATGGATTCTCTGTTCTAATTTGGGAATTGCTAGTCTAGAGTAGTACAATTTGAAGATGTTTTTTCTTAGACCTGTTGTGGATCACACATTTATTGAGAATGTGGTTATTAATGCCCACAACGGTCACCTGGTGCTCTCTGCACATTAGAACTGCTTGAGTGTAAAGCAAGCAACTGCCCTCACTTAGCTTGGAGTTTGGCTAGGAGACTACATGCCTCTCCAAAGCAAACTGATGCCGTGCTGGACTTGGGGAAGATGGGTTTGTCAGGGAAACACACAAGCTAAGTCTTCCAAGTGATTTGATTCAGAAGCTTCTGTCTCCAATAGGGGAAAATTGAATACACTTTTCTTGTTTTGTAGGTAAGCCTGCTATTGCTCACCGAGATATTAAGTCAAAGAATATCTTAGTGAAAAAATGTGACACTTGTGCCATAGCTGACTTAGGGCTGGCTGTGAAACATGATTCAATCATGAACACTATAGACATACCTCAGAATCCAAAAGTGGGGACAAAGAGGTAAGATGACTTTTGTTGGTAGCCTACTAAAGTTTATATGATTGATCACCATGAGCGTCTGTGATGTGTGTTCAAATGTGAAAAAAGTTAGGCTTAAAAAAAGCAAGAAGTCTTTTAGGAGACATTGAGAAGCCATAATGATTGCAAAGTAGGAGAATTGACTTTTTGGCTTGGTGAAGCATCCACTTGAGTGCAGAGTCTACTACAGGGTAGTGGTGGAAGAGACGATGGCATGCCATGTTTATGTGACACATTTTCTGGATGTCTTTCCTGCAGAAAAGAAACCACCTCAGAATTATATAGGAGTGGAAGGGACTCTAGGCAGCTTGAACATGGCAAATGTGGCTCTGGCAGGCTTCAACCTTCTCTTCCATCTCCTCTTCCTTGCTAAAAACCATTAGATTACATTCCTAAAGCTTATTGGCTATGTCTTCCCCCTGAGGCTGACCACCATGAGCCAGCTATCAAAGTATTGAAATTCAGCAATCAAAAGCCCACTTTGGCTCACCTAATTAACATGCACAATTAAAATCAAACACCTCCTAACACAAGGTTTCCCTCTTTACATTTATAAACCATCATTTTTATATTAACCACATCTGTTTCCTCTCTATCTAGAGGCAGTCCTTTGTCCCCCAGGACAAATATCTTCCTTGTTCCCTTCCCATTTTCCTGTGTCTTCTATCTTCTGTTTTTGTCTCTTATTCCCTGCCCATTGTCCCTCTGGGGCATATTGAATAAATCTCATTTGTGCTGAAAACTTGGTCTTGGGGGGTCCCAAGCCACCACCGATCCTTTCAGGGAGTCAGCATCTTTATGCCTCGTCAATGTCCTACAAGCCAGGGCTTGCTGTACAGGCTCAGGTTTAAAGAACACGTGCAAAATGTGTGCATTGGAATAGGGACACTATATAACAAAACCATGTGTGTGATAGTCTATTCCATTAACACACGAAGACATGGTGTATCAATTTATGTCTTAGCTATAGTTGGACTTGTCCTTCGTGTCCCAGAATGATGTGCTTGGAGATAATACACATTTAAACGCAATTTCCACTTTCAAGGAACAGAATATAATAAGGCTAGGGGGAGGCATGAAGTAAGGAGCACACACAGCTGTGGCTGTGACAGGCTCATCAGTCATTGAACTTCTGGTGTGTTCATCGTTTTGACCAGCAGGTGGCTCCTCAGCTAGTCTTCTATCTCCTTTACCCAGGTTCCATGCTTCATGCTACGTTCTCATAAGTCCAGAGCTCTTGTCTTTGAAATCACAACTGTCAAAATATTTTCTTGAACTTGTTAAAGTGCTTGAGAATAGAGGAGTTCTAAGGAAGCAGAGCTGGCCTCTGTAAGGCAGTTGAAATTTCAGGACAGTGCGGACCAGCCATTTGTTGTCTGCTAATAGACATTATTGAGGTCACAGAGACATTCCAGGGAAGCATGTTCAGAACGTGCAGTTTTAACGGACCCCTCTTATTTTTCCAGTAAGGACGAATACCTTACTATTCCCACAGCAGGCGCCCTCCAGGAGGGCTTGGGTGCTGGTTTCCTTTGGAGGATCCCAACATGTTGAAAAGAACATGTTGGGAAATGCCCAACTCGGTATGGGCCAGTTAGGCTCAATCAGGTCCTGTGACTCCAGGCCCTCTACTATTAAATTTTGTGTAGCACAGTACATAGTCAAATTCTTTATTCTGAGAAGGTATTTGTGGAATATCATTTAGCCTTCCTTGTATTGGAGATTGACCCCCCCCCACTCCGTGGTGAGTGAATCCCACTGGTTGTAAGACTTTCTGTGATGACAAATTTTGGGGTGTTGAGCTCCATCACTGTGTTGGGTGCTTTGCTCATTGACCTTCCCAATGAATTTTTTCCAAGTACTAGGCTACTAGTTATCCTACTATAATGCAAAACTGTGTGACCTTTAGTTTCATTTAAAAGGTTTAAAAATGATGGTTGAGTCAATAACTGTGTTTTTTAAATTTCATCCTATTATGGTATCTGAGATGTACCTTTGAAATTGATGTAAGCGATCTTAATTTATGTTTTGTATCACGATGTGTTAAAATTGCGGTTTACTGGACCGGATCTCAATGTGCACATTTTTGAAGGTATATGGCTCCTGAAATGCTTGATGACACAATGAATGTGAGCATCTTTGAGTCCTTCAAGCGAGCTGACATCTATTCTGTGGGGCTGGTTTACTGGGAAATTGCTCGAAGGTGTTCAGTTGGAGGTAAGATTTTGGAAATATCCTTTTGTCCCTTTTTCCTTGACACTGAGTACAAGATGAGATTTTCTATATTTTCCCCTTAGGATACTGGATTGTGTCTGAATAGTTAAGAGAATTCCATTCAGTAATTTCTTTATGGGGACAAAAGTGGAATATCCTGCGGAGAGTGGGGGCTTTCTTCTTTTGATCAACCTGCTTAGATGTGGGGGACAGTTCTGATCATTCTGGTGCCTATTATGCTTGTTTTGAATCACTAGAAAATTATCTGATTGGCATTGGCAAGCAGCTGGTATCCCTACTCTTATCTCAAAGAAGCTAAGTGGCTTGCCAAGGTGGCAGTACCACCAGACTTCCTTTCCTCAGGCCTTTCTCTCTCCTGTGATGCAAAGACAGTGACAATACAGGGATGGGATAAAGTGCAGTGGGGATTTGAGTGACAGCTCACCTCTTGCCCTCTACTGCTCTCAGTAGCTTAGAAATTGGTGAGGGAACCCCTGCTAATGTACTCTAATGAGATTGTTGCATCCATGGAGAAAAAAGTTAATATAAAGCAGTTACTGAGTATTCTTTTGTGAGATACACTTAGGATGAAGCCTCGGTTTAGCTGTGTATGTGAGTGTGTGTGTGTGTGTGTGTGTGTGTGTGTGTGTGTATTCGAGTGTGTATGTGTGTGTGTACAGAGCTCATGTACAGGTCAGAGAACAGCTTGTGAGACTGGATTTTCTCTTTCTGCCCCTTGATATGTGGAGATTGGATCACTTTGTCAGGCTTGGAAGCTTTGTGTCACCAGCTGAGCCACCTACCTAAAAATTTCAAAACCCAAAATGCTGTTTTAATAAATAAATATACTTTATTTACAGTGCACTGATGTCATGTTATAAATATAGCAGTTAAGATTATGTTTGAACCATATAATGACAATATATGAAAATAAAATTCACAACATTTTTATTGGAGACATACGTGCTTTATTTTGTATTGTTATACATTTATATATGTTTATTCAGGATTTTATGGTTTTATATTTATCTTAATTACATTTTATAACATGTATCATATATTACAAAATGTTATAGCTTTATATAAGTATTCAGCTGAGTGAGTTGAACTGAATCCTGTTTTATATTTTTTTTAAGATTTATTTACTTATTATATATAGTGTTCTGCCTGAATGTATCCCTGCAGGCCACAAGAGGGCACCTGATCTCATTACAAATGGTTGTGAGTCACCATGTGGTTGCTGGGAATTGAACTCAGGACCTCTGGAAGAGCAGGCATATTTTAACAAAAGTGAGATTCCTCTTTTCCAGGATATCATGTTTGCCTGATAGAATCAAGTGCATGAGTTTGAAATACACATCATTATTGATTATATATGTAGGAAAACTTATTTTGCAAATTTCTTACAGGAATGGTTGAGGAGTACCAGTTGCCTTATTATGACATGGTGCCTTCAGACCCTTCGATAGAAGACATGAGGAAAGTTGTTTGTGACCAGAAGTTCCGACCAAATATCCCGAACCAGTGGCAAAGCTGTGAAGTAAGGCTATTAAGTTCCCACCTTCTGCATTCTCCTCTTCCTTCCTCTCCCCCTCCCTCTTTCTCCTCCCTCCTCTTCCCCCTGCATCCTCCTCCCCTTCTTCTCCTCTCTCCCCCTCCCTCCTTCTCCCCCTTCCTCATTTTCATACACTGGAGATCAACACAAGCTATGTTCTTATGTATTTCTTTATTCTTTACTCTTCAGATTATCATCAGTGAGGATTTTCAAAGTATGTAGTTCTTTCTTCACCCAGTTGCTTAATTCATTCTATATATGGAAGTTTGCCTTTTTCATGTCTTTAGAGGGATTTTATTCCCTTTAGCAGTATGAGTCCCCTGAAGGTCTGGAGGCTTCTGACAAGAGGGCGTTAGTGCATCTCTGAAGTCCTCTGTGACTTAAGTGTCTCTGAAGTCCTCTGTGACTTAAGTGATATAGTCTGTGACATGTCTTCACAGAGGTGGCTCAATTGTTATCCTCACTGCTCCTTGGTGATGCCATTCCCATGTAGGTTCCAGGTCTCTGTATCTGGCAGAGAGGAAACACATGTGCACACACTGGCTTTTCAGTGTTTGGCACAAGGGACACACAGTTTCCTCTTATGCCTCATAGAACCAGTCACGTGGTCCTCCCACACGTCAAGGGGCTGGGAACTGAGGGACATGAGCTTTTAAAATCAATGGCTCATTAATATAGTACTAGGTAACTTATGCCTAATCTCTAGCTGCCTGAAGCTTAACCTTCCTCTTCAGAAAAGCCCCCCTCCTACCTTAGATCCAGTTGTAATCTGTCTTGTCATCATAGGCAATCCAGGACTGTAACCAAAGCACGGTAGACACACAGTCTGCAGAACTTTTTCCCTGACTCCCATGAGCGCTGATGGAGGGAGGAAGGGCACTATTGTTCCCCTATGATGTGTTGCAACGTTCCCTTCCAATTGCTACACTTTATTTTCTGCTTTATTTGAATATAATAAATAAGGCCTTTTTATATGACACTGTCACTTTTTTATTTTGTTATAGGATTTTTTTTTATGTAGTTGCCTTTTTACCCCATTTGTTTCCCTCTTCCATGATTTTAGTTCTTTTGTTTAAGGCAAGTCTCACTATTTTTGTCTTTCGTGTAGTTATCTCAACTTTGTTATTTGAGAAGCAGGCTTTTAGGCTTGCATAATATAATTGAAATAATTAATTTTTCTAATATTATTTGTTTTGTTGTTTTTTTTTGTTGTTGTTGTTTTCAAGACAGTTTCTCAGTGTAGCCTTGGCCGTCCTGGAACTCACTCTGTAGACCAGGCTAGCCTCAAACTCACAGAGATCCACCTGCCTCTGCCTCCCTATCTCTGGTATTAAAGGCTTGCGGCAATACACCAAGCTGTTATTAATTTTAAGCATATGGGGATATAAACTGGTAAAATTTAAAAGAAAATAGTAAAGTGAAAACTTGTGACTACACAGATGAAAAGTAGGACATTCCAAAATCTTTGAGGAATTTTTCTGCATTGCTGAGTGGTTAATATTAATATTAATGATTTCTTATTATTCCCTGTTTTATTTAGATTTTTGCCATATGTGTGTGTGTAGCTTGAAAAATATTTGCATTTGTGTATTTATGAAAATTATAAGTAAAACTTATTTCAAATATGCTTTTTAATTTTTCATCATATATATGAGAAATCTATTTTCATTGCTGTGTGGATATAAGAGAATTTGTCTATTATAGTATTGATTATCATATGTGATTTATAGTTAGCATTATTAAAAATGATGTTGCTATATGTACTAGTGAATTTTATTCTCGCTGTGACAGAATACTAGACAAAAAGAACTTAAAGAAGGAATGGTTAGTTATAGCTCAAATTTGAAGGTGTCATGATGGTGTAAAAGGCATCAGGAACATGAGGCAGCTGGTTACATGCTGTCTTAGTTTCTTTCCCATTGCTGTGAGGTGGCAGCATGACCAAAGCAACATTAAAAAAGAAGGCATTTAATTGTGGTCTTCTGATCCCAGAGGATTAGAGTCCGTGACCATCAAGGTGGGATACATGGCAACAGGCAGGCAGATGTGGTGCTGGAGCAGTAGCTGAGAGCTTACATATGGTCCATCAGCATGAGCAGAGAGAGACAGAAATGGTGGAGCTTTCCAAACTTCAAAGCCCACTCTCAGTGACACATCTCCTCTAAGAAGGCCACACCTCCTTCTCCTCCCAAAGAGTTCCACTAACTGTGGACACACATTCAAACATAGGAGTCTCTAGGGTCCATTCTCATTCAAACCGCTATATGTTATGTCCAGGATTAGGAAGCACACAGGAGAATGGTCACCGGCAGCTGGTTCTCTCTTTTTCACTCAGCCCAGAAAGTCAGCCCAATGGAACATGTCACCTCCATTTAAGGTAGATCCTTTCTCTTAAAGCGTTCCAGAAATTAATGGGTTACCAAGGTGATGCTAAATTCTGCCCAATTGACAGATGATCCATTGCAGGGGCTGGTGAGATGTCTCAGTGGTTAAGACCACTTGACGTTTTGACATAGAACCAGAATTCAGTTCTCAGCAATCATATAGTGGTTCATGACTGTTGGTAACTGCAGCTCAAGGGGATTTGATGCTTTCTTCTGACACAGACAGACACACAGACAGACACACACATACACATGTTGGGAGACAAATCTCAGGGCTGGACATGAGATCCTAGGCCATTCTTGGCCAGCCACATGGTTGTATATTAACCTTCACTTAGGAACTTCTTAGACCCTCAGCTCAAGAAAAGAAACAACTTAACCCAGTCCTCCACCCACACACAGGCTCAGTCACCCAGGCAACCCTTCCAGGACCTCTTACTCATAAACTCTTTACCCTGCCAAACATCCTCTTTGTGGCTTCCTAATATTCTGCCTACACTAACACCTGGCTCACTAACAATTCTACCCCTCCCCATATCCTGCTCTGCCGACTATATATGTAGCCTGAGAAAAAAATAAAGTTTGCCACTTGATCAGAATCCTGTCTTG